TAAGCAGGTGTCGGGTGACGAGGCAAAGACAAGTGGGTCGGTCTTTTGATTATTCTTATTATTATGCTTCCGCTTATGAATAAATGTGTGGTCCTTGTGAACCTCTTTTGGTAGAGACGTGTTGAACTGTTTTCAAAACTTATTGTTTTTTACTTGTTCGACCAATGTTTCATTTGAATATTTATGTTGGATTTGTCTCTTGAATATCATGTGTTCGATTATGCATGTTATGACGTTTAGCTAATAATCATGTGAGTTGTTATGTTGTCGATTAATGAAAACCATGTGAAAACTGGGTAATGAATCCCCGTGCGACCAGATATGACTTAGTCGATGTAAATGTTTTGAATAATGCCCATGTTTTCGAAAATGAGTTCGAAAAATGTTTTACTGATTTTGAAAAGCCATGGATTTTCGTTAAATCAAAGTTGGGCGTTACAGTTAGGTATTATAGCCAGTTTGCGTTTCTGTAGACTGCTCTATGTGTGAATTACATATTAATGTGATTTGACCTTGTGTTTGACCACTCGTCTTCGTCACGCCGCACTGCTTAAGGTATGTTTTATAAGTATCAATAAAAATACTTATATTGTGAAATGTGTATTCTGGTAGCAATGAAACTACTTGAAATGTAACTTGTTGTCATTTTTGGGGCTTAAGAATCTATCCACCTTTGTATAAGTTGAATTATAGTGTTTAATGATGAACCCTATATTTCCTTATAACTGTGCTAAACTTTTTGGCCCATTAATGTAGAACCATGGCTCGTCAAACCCGCAACAACCAGCAGCATCAACAGCCACGCCAACCTCCACCTCCACCCCATCAGCAGGCTCCTAACCAAGTGGATGATCATCTCAACGTTGTTCTTCAATTTCAGCGGCTGACCCCACCGACTTTCACCGGTGTTGAGGGGCCAACAGCTGTGTCCGAGTTGATTCGCAAGCTCGAGCAGATATTTGATCTCCTTCGGTGCTCCGACGATCAGAAAGTGGTTTGTGGCCATTACCAGTTGGATGGTGTTGCCGTACTATGGTGGGAGGATTACTGGAGGCTGAGGTCGGGTGAGCTGGCTAACCTCACTTAGGATGGATTGAAGCAGGTGGTACTCGAGAAGTACTACCCACAGAGCTATCGTGCTTAGATGGAGCGAGAATTTTGGGATCTCTGCCAGGGGACCCTATTTTTGGAGGAGTATGAGTGGGATTTCACCCGCATGAGTGCCTTTGCTCCTCATATGGTGGATACCAAACTGAAGAAGGCCACCAAGTTCCGTGATGTTCTTTACCCTATTCTCTGCATGCATCTTACAAGCTAGGGGAACCTTTCCTATGGCGAGACTGTCATCCGTGTCGTTCAGCTAGAGAGTTGCTAGGCTCTCCATGTCCCCACTTCTTATGTTCAGCTAGTTCACCCTATTTTCTCTATGTCGCCCAGCTCTAGTTCGAGCAAGAGGAAAGATGAATTCCACCGGGATAATCGGAATAGAAAACGAGGAGGCCCAGATTGACGTAATCATCTCTCTTCTGGCAACCGAACCTGCAAGAAATTTGGCAAGATCCATAGTGGAGTGCTTAGCCAATCAGCGAATCTGTTTCAACTGCAATCGCTCTGGTCACTACGCCAATGTTTGCTCCAAGCTGAAGAGGCAATAGCAGCAGCAGTCTTTTTCTCACCAGCATCAACAACAGCTCCCACCACGACCTCAACAGCAGCAACAACCCAGACAGCCCCCACCTTACCAGCAGAGGGCAGGAGGCCAGGCCCGTGTCTATACCATTACCCACGATGAGGCGTCGAACAATGCAGGTACAATGTCTAAAATGCTCTCTATATCCAATGTACCCGTATATGCCTTGTGTGATATCGGAGCCACCCATTCATTTATTTCTTCTCGATGTCATGAGGCTCTATCTGTTAGTAATGTGTGCAAAGTCTATCCTCTCGAGGTTAGCCTCGCCTCTGGAAAAATTATTATCTCTGGTTCTTTGGTTCGTGGCCTTCAAGTTAGTATTGGTAGACGAGTTATGGAGGCTAACACTTATGTAATTGACATGTGATACTTTGATGTGATTCTGGGCTGACATCCGTTCGAGGAGCGAAAAGTCACCCTTTTTCCCGATACCGATCAGCCCGTTGTATTCTATGGGGTGAAGTCGAGGACTGTGCCTCGAGTCATCTCTTCTATTCAACCTAGGAAGAGCCTTTCTAAGGGTTGCTGTCAAGGCTATCTCGTGAGTATTGTGTCTGATGATGTTTCCGAACGAACCCAGAGAGAGTCTCTATTGTTTGCGAATACCTCGACGTTTTTCCCGACGAGTTGCCCAGAGGACCGCCCAATCGCTAGGTCGAGTTCGCAATTGACTTGGTACCAGGAGCTATGTATCGCCCCATTTGTTCCGGATTGATTAGGGAATTATTATTTTATTTGTTCGGTTTTGTTTTATTCATGCTCGGTTATTATATTTTATCGTGATTATGTGCTCGTAATTGTCTAATTGTTGTTAAATGATTATTATTAAATAAATATATTATTTGTGACATTATTCAAAAATGTTATTGAATTATGACGTTTATACAAAAATGTTTGTTTTTAATGTTACCAAAAATAGTGTTACGTCAATGGTTTTTTTAATAAAAAATTAATTACAAGATTACACCTTTTTAACAGTGTCATAATGCTAATTAATACGACCACACTTAAAAAATATAATTAAATTATGACGATTAAATAAACCACTCATCTTTTAAAAGTATTATGACACTTTTTATATATAAACAAAAGAGATGATGCTTACAATTAGGGCTGAAAATTTTTGTCTGAAAAATGAAAATTCGACCAAACCAAACTGAATCGAACCGAACCGTCTTATTGTGTGTGTTTGTGTATGTATATACATTCACTATTTCACTCTCCTTTTAATTTTTTTTTTCACTCTCCTTTTAAGTTAACATTAAAAAATAAAGATAGTTTCACACAATACTAAAAAAAAATCACCAATCTTCTTGTCTTCTACAGCACCTACAGAGAATAAGAGACAAATGAAAGTGTAAATTACTCAGAATTTCAATGCTACCCATGATGCCAAATTATAAGAAAATAGAAATACGAGAACAACCAGATCAAACGCAAAATACAAAACAAACCATTTAACATCCAAGCACGACTTCATAACACTACAAACACAAATTCATAAATTACTCATACAGTTTCAATGTTAAACATAGACCTCATTAAAATTCAAAACAACCATTTAATATCCAAACACAAGGTCATAACAAAAATATAAAGTCTGCATAACAAAAACACAAACAGCACACCATTATTCTCCCATATCACTCGACCTCGATGGTCCACTTGTCGGCCCTCTTGTCGTCCTTGATCCTTGATCCTGGAAACAAGATTTGATTTCAAGCAATAAGAGTCGGATTCAAATGGTGAGCCGTTGGATTCCACTGGTGGCCCGTAAGGGACCCGAAGCACCTACAATTGCATATCCTCATTTCAGCAAAACACGCCCCAAATAAAAAGCTTGGAAATATTACTAGAAAATAGGTCATGTGTGTAGAACGTAAAATGTATCCCAACAAAACAAGAAGGAATCTATTTTGTTGTTTTGGTTTGTTTTGAAAAAAGTTCAAATCGCAACCCACTCCCACACTCATGCACAGGTGTGCCAAATAAGCCTCAGGTTCCTCTTTTAGAACTTTTAGAAATTTTCTTATTAAAACACAAAACAAACAAAATTGTGAGGTGATATAGTAAAAACTGAAACCCCACATTTATCTCAACATATCTCATGCCAAATTCCAAGAAACAATGGATATGCCAATAAATATTACGAAAAGTAATTAATTGTAAAGGTAACTAGCGTAATAATGTTTATACAAAAAAGTGGGATGATAACAAGTTATCCCAAATGTGAATAAAATATGTTAAAAACTCCCAGGAAATCGGACAAATTTTTGCCAAAAGGAAATTGTTGGCACATTCTTATATGGCTGTATTATAATTATCATAATTTTACCATGTATTTTTGTTTAAATGGGCCAAAGTTCATAAATCGAATCCATATAGCCCCAAAAAAATACAGAAAAAACAAGGACAGAGAAATACCTGTAATAAAAAATCTATTGGTTCTCAGATGGTTCCTCCTCATCCACTCTTGCCCAATAGGTTCGATCATCATTGATATTTGCCGCATTCACATTTTGAGGTACGCATTCCGTATACACATTATCATCCTCATTGTCTTGTGCTCTCTTTCCCATATCATACAAATCTCGCGGCTTTGCGCTAATCACATGAGACCAACTATTATTTTTTGGATCTTTCACATAGAAGACTTGTTTCACCTGGGATGAAAACATGAACGGGTCATCTTTCAAGGAGCTCCCCGTATGTATTAACCTGGAGAAATTCACTAATGTGCACTCATTGTCATCAGTTTTTAAACCCCTTGTTGAATTAACATCAGCCCATTCACACTTAAACAAAACAATTTTAAAAGCTCTAAAGTAATCTAATTCAATGATATCATTAAGGACACCATAATAAGGTTTTCCATCCACTTCGACGACTACTCCACTATTCTGAGTCTTTCTCAATTGGTCACGACTCTTTGTATGGTGTCTAAACCCATTTATAATGAAACCACTAAATCGCCTTGCAATGCTATTCGGACCTCTAGCAATAGCTACTAACTCATCTGAACAACCATACTTCATCATTGTAGGCACCTACAGATTAAAAAAATATTAGCTACTTGAATAAATTATTTTCTGAACTACACTATTTATGCCTTTTAAATACTTACTTGAGCTAACAGCCATTCTGAAAACTTTTCATTAATCCATTTTTGTTGAATAATCTGGGTAGCTCGAAGTGGACGATAAGCTCCCTTTTGTGCTGCTAAAAATTCACTAAAATTACAAAGAATTAAATCACATAATTATAAAAACTAGGAAGCAATTAATATATTACTATTAAACTAATTTACCTTTGGTAATTGGACAATAGATCATCACATATCGATGGGCTTGGGCCAAAGACATGTCATCTAGAGTCACACTTTCTGCTTTCCCTATTATTCTTCCGGTGCTTGAGAAAAGGTAAATCTCTTCATTGTTCACACGATCACAGTTTCTTTGAGGACGAGTAAATGTCATTTCAACTTCTTGAAGATATCGAGAACAAAAGGTTAAACATTCATTCACAATATAACCTTCTGTAATGGAACCTTCTGGTTGGGCCTTATTTCGTACATGTGACTTTAAAATCATCAATTCCCTAAAAAAATGATAAATAAATGATTAGAAATCATGAATAATTATCATAAAATAAATGAGATTATATTGTATCTCAGACATAAGAATAACTATAACAGAACTTACCTCTCAATAGGATACATCCACTGTACTGGACCACCCAACACGGCCTCTTCAGATAAATGTACAATCAAATGAACCATGATTGTGAAAAATGAAGGAGGAAATATCTTCTCTAGACGACATAACGTAATAACCACTTTCTTTTGTAACTCCGTAAGCTCCTCAATATCAAGTGTTTTCGAACACAATGATTTAAAGAACAATGACAATTCTGAGATAATAGCTGTCAAGTAAGGCGGCACTGAAGCTCGTAAAGCAATCGGGAGAATCTCTTGCATCAAAATATGAGAATCATGGCTTTTAAGGTTAGAAAGTCTCCGATCATTCAGATTTACACATCTTGATATATTCGATGCATAACCATCAGGAACCTTCAAATGTTTTAGCACAGTTAGGAATAACTCTTTCTCTTTTGCCGTCATAGTGTAACATGCTTGGGGGAGACGATACTTGTTATTAGCACCTAAAATAGGATGAAGCTCGTGTCTTATACCTAGCTCAATCAAATCAAGACGGGCTTTTAGATTGTCTTTGCTCTTACCTTCAACATTCAACAATGTATTGAGGATATTATCACAAACATTTTTTTTCTATATGCATCAAATCTAAATTATGATGCAAAGCATTAAACTCCCAATATGGTAACTCAATAAAATACTTCTTTTTTTCCAGACGCATTGTGCCTCACTCTGTCTTGCTTGTTCAGTAGTTGTCGATGCAAAACCATCAACTTCTCCAATGTAATCGTCAACAACTTCATATTCTCCCCCTCTTCCATTATCAATTTCCTCGGTACTAGCAAGCCCAATAGGTCTATCAATCGTCTCCCTTGATCTTTTGCTTATTTTTTTAGATTTTCCATACACAAATTTCATCCCGTGCAACTGCCTCAATACTTCACTCTCAGAAATTAAAACTGGAGGAGATTGCAATTCTTCAGTGCCATCAAATTCATCTTTTTGATAGCGAAATGGGTGATTTGGATCTAACCACCGGCGATGTGCCATGTAGCAGAATTTCTTCCCATGGGTTAGCCATAAAGAATGAGTTGAAACCCCGCAAGATGGACAAGCAACACGACCTTTGGTGCTCCAACCTTATAAATTAGCATAAGAGGGAAAGTCATTAAAGGTCTGCTATACAGTAGAGATGCACGTAATGATGATACAAAAAGGACAAAGTTATGTACATAGATAAATGGACAAATTTTGAAGAAAATATATTAATCTGTTTACAAAATTAAAGTCATTATTTTGGGAAATTAATAACTAATTTTAGCATGTGCATGACATGTTAGAGAGTAGATGTTCAAGTATCATTATTTGTTAAGGATTAAATGCTAAGCTACCATTATCTATTAAGAACTTATATCCTAACATCATGATCACTCTATATACACCACCTACTGAACTGGTGTATTATGAATATGCACTTGGCATGGAAAACTTACTTAATGATAAGAAAAATATGTAATTCTAACTTTGAAAACTTGTTAGCTGTTGCTATTTAAATAAAAAAACTCTTTTTCTTTTTTTTTTTTGTCAAGTTGGAAAAAATCAAGCAAAGACTACCTTATTCAATCATGAATTAAATAGTTTAGAATTCTTTAATCTTGATAACTAGCAGGAGAGTTAAAACACTCTATTTGCTTTATTATCATGTTGTGACAAAGAAGGAATAAATGCTTTCTTTATCCTTGAATTCCACATTAAGGTTGATAATAATAATAAAAAAAAACAACACTTAAACCTGATAAATTAGCATAAGCTGGAAAGTCATTAATTGTCCATATTAGAGCTGCTCGTAATTTGAAGTTGCAACCGCTTGATGCATCAAATGGGTCCACTCCATCCCATAAACGCTTCAACTTATCAGTTAATGGTTGCAAGAAAACGTCTATGTCATTTCCAAGTCCTTTTTCTCCGGGGATCACCATGGACAATATCAAAGAAGATCTTTTCATACAAACCCAAGGCTCCACAATATATGGAATCAATATAACTGGCCAGGTGCTGTAAGTCGTGCTCATTGTTCGAAATGGGTTAAATCCATCACTAGCAAGAGCTAGTCTCACACTATGAGGATCATATGTGAATTCTGGGAAGTTAGCATCAAAATCTTTCCACGCTTTGCCATCTGCCGGATGCCTCAGTTTTCCATCTTTTGTACGCCCTTTTGTGTGCCACCTTATTGATGATGCAGTTTTAGATGACATGTAAAGTCGTTTGAGTCTTGGTATTAAAGAAAAGTACCGTAAGACTTTAGCTGCTTTTTTTTTTCTTTGCTTGCCTTCATCAAGGTTTACTGCATGATCACCATCATTTTTCTCTATCCACCTTGACGTTGAGCACACGTTACAAGCTTCATAATTCAAATTGTCCCCCCAATACAGCATACAATCATTCGGACAACAATCAATTTTTTTATATCCAAGTCCTAACTCCCGAATAACTTTTTCTGCTTCATAATAAGATGACGGCAACGAAATACCAACAGGAAATGCATCCTCTAATAACTCTAGAAGCATAGTGAAAGACTTTGCTGACCAACCGTATAGACATTTGAGATGAAATAATCGCAATAAAAATGATACTTTTGAGAACTTCGAACAACCTGGATAAAGTTCTGCATCTCTTTCTTTCTCTAAATTCTCATGCCTATTTCTTTCATTATTTTCATTGGTACCTTCACGATTAGGTCGCGACTCATCATCCAAATGTCTACTTTCTGATGTTGATTCCATGTTTGTTGAAGCAAATCTAGACGCATCTTGGTTATGTTCAGCAGCAAATTCCCATGCATCTTGAAAGAGCCCCCTCATGTTATAGTCTCCATCTAAACAATTTTCAACATTTCTCACAATTGGCTCATCCGAGCTACATTGGTCTGTGGGCGAAAAAATATTTTCACCATGAAACACCCAACAAGTGTAACCTTCTTGGAACCCATACCATACCAAATGCTCACGAACAGTTTCAGCATCATTTGAAAACCTATTAAAACATCTTCGACATGGACAATATATAGTGTTAGAATATCACTTGTGAGTTGTCCCAGATCGTTCATAAATAGAAAATAGACCCACCTTATAAGTCTAATGGGCTACTCCTCCTTCCACCAATTGGTTTTGGGATGGAACCTCACTTGGGCTTCATATGGGTTTTTCCCTACTCATGGTGCGCTTCATGTTAGTGGGACCGCACCGTTTTCCCCCAGTTTCTTACATGGTATCAGAGCTGGTTCTATTGGGACCGTGCAATGACGTACCCGTTTATGGGAGTCTGATTCCCCACGTACCCGTTTATGGGAGTCTACTTCTAGTAGGCTTGGGGCACCCAATTGGGTTTAGGCTTCCGAAGGACTCACAAGTGAGGGGGCGTGTTAAAATATCACTTGTGAGTTGTCCCACATCGTTCATACATGGAAAATAAACCCACCTTTTAAGTCTAATGGGC